TGGCCACCGGAGTGGACACTGCCCCTGACCTCCCCCCGCTCCGGACACCGGAGTGGACACTGACCCCCACCCCGCTCCGGACACTGCTCCGGACACTGCCCCGACCCCCTCACCTTGCTCGGACACCGCTCCGGACACCGCTCCGGACACAGAGTGGACACTGCCCCTGACCCTCCCCGTTCGCTCCGGACACGGCTCCGGACACCAGAATGGACACCGGAGTGGATCCCCCCTGTCCGGACACCGCTCCGGACACAGAGTGGACACCGGACACTGCCCCGACCCCCTCACCTTGTTCGGACCCCGCTCCGGACACCGCCCCTGAGTGGACACTGCCCCCGACCCCGCTCCGGACCCCGCTCCGGCCACTGCCCCCGACCCCCTCACCTTGTTCGGACACCGCTCCGGACACAGCTCCGGCCACCGGAGTGGACACTGCCCCCGACCCCACCTTTTTCGGACACCGGACACTGCCCCGACCCCCTCACCTTGTTCGGACACCGGACCCCTCCGGACTCCGCTCTGGACACCGCTCCGGACACTGGAGGGGACACCAGAGTGGACACTGCCCCTGACCCCCCCTGTTCACTCCGGACATCGCTCCGGCCACCGCTCTGGACACTGCCCCTGACCCCCCCCATTCACTCCGGACACCGCTCCGGCCACCGGAGTGGACACCGGAGTGGACACTGCCCCCAACCCCCCCTGTTCGCTCCGGACACTGCTCTGGACACTGGAATGGACACTGCTCCAGACACCGCTCCGGCCACTGCAGTGGACACTGCCCCTGACCCCGCTCCGGCCACCGGAGTGGACACCGGAGTGGACACCGGAGTGGACACTGCCCCTGAACCCCCCTGTCCGGACCCTGCTCTGACCACCACTTTGGCCACCGGAGTGGACACTGCCCCTGACCCCCCCCCGCTCCGGACACCGGAGTGGACACTGACCCCCACCCCGCTCCAGACACTGCTCTGGACACTGCCCCGACCCCCCCCGCTCGCTCCGGACACGGCTCCGGACACCGGAGTGGACACCGGAGTGGACACTGTCCCCAATCCCGCTCCGGACACCGCTCCGGACACTGCCCCTGACCCCCCCTGTCCAGACACCGCTCCGGCCACCGCTTTGGCCACTGCTTTGGACACCGGAGTGGACACCGGAGTGGACACTGCGCCTGACCCC